ATTTTATGAATGGTACAGACTCCAAAGGAGGGCAGTACCTGGGTAGCAAAAGCTTTATGAAGATGCAGCTTTGGTTATTAGGGGATGAGGAAATTCAGATGGGGAAGCAAATGGTTTACAGGTGAGAGGGACCAAGAAGTTACTAATTTTTTCTAGAGCAGAGGTTATGACTTGGTGATATAGTTGACTTTAAAGTTGGAAAGATCAGATAAAAGCTAAAATTTGGAGGCCCTTGAGTATTGGGGCAGGAACAGGTTTTTTTTTTATTCTAATAGTTGTTGGGAGTCATTGAAGTTGTTTTAACCAATATGCTAAGATGATAAAAAGTATTGTAAGGAGGGAAGACAGGAGATAGGGTTGCTTGTTATGGCCATCAGCAGTAATCCTTGGAAGAATGGGGACTAGGATAGTGGCAATAAGAATTTAAAAGTGGGATTTGAGCGATGTAAAGGTAGAGCAGACCAGACTTGGCTGAATTCAGAATTAGGATTCAGAGGTGATTTTAGCATTAAAGATCTAATAATTTTTCGTCTCTGTGATCCTCTACCTAATTTTTGCCAGGATATTTTTAAATTGTAGATACTTTGGAGTTAGGATTGGGGGAATCCAGCATTAATTAATTTTTTCCAAATTTTAGTTGAAATTCAATCTACAATGTAGAGAAGAGCTTACTTAGTAAAGAGTATCTTACTCTTGACTAGACCAAGAGAAAACTGCATTTGAAAAGTCCTTGAGTCATACTGCGTAGTTGTATGATGTATATAATTACAAACTCTAAAAGTAATTTGTGCTAATTTGCAGGGTGGTATTTCCAACATTTTGGAGGAACTGGTTGTCCAGCCTCTTTTGGTTTCAGTTAGTGCACTGACCCTAGCAACTGAAACTGTCCGGAGTATTCTGAAAATTGATGACGTGGTAAGTATAGATTGTGAGTTTTCCTACAAAGTCAGAAGGGGATTTTTCTTAAAGAGGTTTTTTTGGGTTGTGGGTGGTAAATGTTAGTTTGCGACTCATCAAGGTGATAACAAGACTGATTTTACAGTCTTTTGCTTGTAAAAAATAGGGGTGATTTGAATTATTGCCTTGAATGTCTTCCATCCTTAAAATTCTGTCATTACAAGGTTTTGAAATTCTAGTTTTTCTCTTGTCAGGTAAACACTCGGTAATCCGGATAACACTGGCTGACTTGCACCATTATGGCCACTAACAGTGCAGCTGGAGTGGAAGATCACTCACTGGTGTTCTTTGTTGTTTGGAAAATTGTTTCCTCTATGACTTCCTGGGCCTGGTCTTCCAGTTGGCATTTGCTTGGAATTGTATTGACACAATTTAATGAAAATATTAAATATTTGGTTTCAGAAGCTGGATTACTTTATTGCCCTCCCTCACATTCTATTTCAGATACTCTTGAAAAGCCTATATAAGAAGAGGAAAAGTGGATTCACATTTACCTGTTGACTTCCTTAGGATCTTAATCCTGGGTACTTTTAAGTTGGTTTTTTTTTTAAGCAGACATTGAGAATAAAAATATGGCCTAATATGCTCATCACACTGATAAATCCCCATTTACATAAAAATCTCTAATATATATGCTGTTTGAAAAGTTAACAGTACAGAAGGATACAAAGTGAAAAATGAAAGGCTCTCTCCTTTTCTCCAAGAATAACCATAGTAGTGTTAATTGGGATTCCTTCTACAAATAAAATAGGCGTATATGTAGCAAGTTTTATACAAAAGGGATTCTTAACTAATATGTCTTATTCAATGGCTTTTAACATCTTCATTGCCTCTACCCTGATCAAGCATCATCTCACTTTGAGTAGTGTAAGATCTAATCTCTGCCCTTACTTTAGCCTCCTTCCATCAGTTCTGCACACACTGTAGCTAGTGATTTTTAAAAACTTGTCAGGTACTCTATTTTATAAAAGCTTTCATGACTTCTGATCACATTTGGATAAAGGCCAGACTTTTGAGGTGGACCATAAATGGGACTGTACAATCTGGTACCATTCTCACCATTTCCTCCATTGTATTTCACAAAGAGTGTTCTAAAAGCAGCTAGGGCTCTCCATTGTATTTAAACTAATTTGGTAAATGGTAAGTCTGTTTCTGGATTGTCTGCAATTTAGTAATTAAGTTTACTCTCCTCCCCCCCCCT